AGCAACACACCTCAAAGAACAACAGTTACTAGAGGCGAGTAACCGTTTTTTTCTGGATGTCCTATGAATGTCAATCCATCCTCCCATCAGCATCTAACCATTCCTGGATTTTGTAACTCAGGAGAATGGCAAGATTGGATATTTCAACCTGTGGCCTTTTCATCTCATGGTCTGGTTTTTGGATGGGCATCAGATCTGTAACATTCATGTTCGGAGGCCATTTAAGCTATCCTCAGTCACAGCAGAAAAGACTCCATGACAGCACTATTCAGATATTTATACTGCCTGCAACTTCACACTCCACTCCTGTTTGAATACTGCTTACCAGTCACCCACATGTGGAATACATGTGGGGCCAGCACTTGAAGAAACAATCAAGGTTATTTACCTGTAGTTGGAGGCTCTTTGAGATATGTGGCACCTATCTCTATCCCACTACCAACCCTCCTTCCTCTCTCCTTCAGCTCATGTCTGGATTCATGATGGAGAAGGAAGTGGAGAGGTAGTTAATCCACACCTCCCCTTACACCCTTGGTACTGAGCATGAGGAGTGCCAGATGCAGGTGTGGACCAATGGACACTACTTGCAAATTCTTCAGTCTCAGGCGCATGAAGCACATGTGTATCCATATGTGAACTATAGATAGGTTACCACACAGCTCAAAGAACCTCCAGTTACAGAAAACCTCCATTTTTTGAAACCCTTTTTCCTTCCAATATATGACTGAACTGTAGTGTGTATTATATACATAACTACTTCTTATCATTCTGTTTAAAACCACATATTTAACACCTTTATCTCAGGTCGCTTTGCTGACTAACAAACCATGGGCATAAAACATAGATTAATATATTTTTAAGGTCAGAAGGAACCATTATATTCTAGTCTGACTGCTAACACATGACACAGGTCATAGAATTTTACCCAGTAGTTCCTGCATAACCCAATAACTTCTGGTTGAGCTATGGCATATGTTTTAGAAAGATATCAAATCTTGATTTAAAGAATCCACATGATTGAGAATCCATCACATACTTTGGTAAATTAATTAGTCTTCTTGTTAAAATGTGTACCTTATTTCCTGTTAGAATTAATCAGCCTTCAACTTCCAGCCATTGGATCTTCTTATACTTTTTAACTGCTAGATAAAGAACCCTCTACAATCAGAAATCTCTACCCCAAGTAGATACTGTGATCAAATCACCTCTTAATCTTCTCTTGGATAAAATGAGTAGATTGAACTCTAAGTGTCTCATTGTAAAACTGGTTTTTCCAGACCTTGAATCATTCTTGCACTTTTTTTCTGAACCATTTCCAATTTGTCAATGCCTATTATCAATTGGTAGAAGAAGCAAGATTTAAACAAATACTGGCCTAGTTTCCACTCTAGAGCAATTTCTCTTAGGCCAAAGAGACATTTTTGCTTGTGTTCTTTTTGGAGATTTAGTTGTCTGGCGTGTTGAAGTGAGAAGCTGAGAGCCATATGGAATAGTTAGGCTGTTAAAAGATTTAGCAGCAAACCTCTAGCAAAACACAGACAGCATATAGTGATTCTTGATACGTTATAATTTGGCCAAATATGAATGAATTTTTATGGGAAGACTGAAAGGCACCCCTCTACCCACAGGACTTTCTCCATGCCAAATTTCAAGTTCCTTCTATAAACCATGGAGGGATTAAAGTTCTTCCTACAGAAAAAAATATAATGGAAAGCATCAGGAAACCTTATTAGAGGGATTGGTATAGTTTTCCTTTACACAGAAACTTGAAGGAGCTCTTTATTAATAATCTGACATTGGGAATTAACTTCAAAAGATCTCTTGGAGCATAGTTTTATATATGAGCCAAGTATTATGTATGTGCAAAGTATAACGGTTTAGTTCATTTTCTGAGTGCTCTGGTTGGGACATACAATTCTAGTTATATAACAAAATATTTGGACCAACAAAACTTAGAATCATTGAATCATCGGGTTAGAAGGGACCACACGGGTCACCTACACTAACCCCCTGACAAGATGTAGGATTTGTTGTGTCTAAATTGTCCAAGTTATCCCCCATTCTGTGTTTGTGCATTTGGTTTTTCTTTCCTCAATTGTCTTTGTTGAACTTCATTTTGTTGTCTATACCCTTTTTTTCCAATTTATCAAGATCCCTTTGAATTTTAGTTCTATCTGCCACAGTGTTTGCAACCCCTCCCTAGCTTTGTGTCTATTCCTACACTCAGATTATTACTAAAGATATTAAATAACACCAGACCCAGAACAGATTCCTGTGGAACTCTATTTGAGACCTCCATCCAATCTGGCATAATTCCATTAATAATTACTCTTTGTTTGAAGTTGTTTAACCAATTATGTATCCACTTAATGGTAGTTCTATTGAGACCACATTTCTCCACCTTACTTATGAGAATTTCATGTGGAGACTATGTCAAAAGTCTTGCTAACATTCAGGTATATTATGTCCACATTCTCCCTATCCACCAAATGAGTTACCTTCTCAAAGAAGGAAATCAAGCTGGTTTGTCATGATTTGTTCTTGGTAAATCCATTCTGGCTGCTAGTGATCACCCCTTCATCTTCCAGGTATTTGCAAACTGAATGTTTCATACATTGCTCTTGTAGTTTTCCAGGTATCAAGCTGATTGTTCTATAATTCCCTGACTCCTCCTTTTTCCCCTTTTTAAGATGGGCACTACATTAACCCTTTCCCAGTCTTCCAGAATCTCACCTGTCCTCCATGAGTATACAAATATTATTGTCAGTGGCTCAGAGATTTCTTCAGCTAATTCCTTCAGCACCTTGGGGGTGAATAGCCACAGGCCCAGCTGACTTTAATTCATTCTGATTAGCCAGAAGATCTCTGACATATTCTTTATTTATCCTGATCTGCATCCCTTCCCCTTTATTGTCTATGATGACTTCGCTTGTCATCCAGTCACATGTTATTTTCTGTATGAAGACTGAAGCAAAGTAGGCCTTGAGCAACACTGCCTTCTTATCATCTTCTACTACCAGCTCACCTTCCTCACACCATCCCTGATCATTCTTTTTTTGTCTGACATATTTGTAGAACCCCTTCTTGTTGTTTCTAACATTTCTTGCCATAAAGTGAAGGTGCTACAGTGAAAGTCTTCACTTCTGAAGAAAAAACTGTCTAAAATGAAAGAATGTAGGTGATACATGGGCACAAGAATTTATACTATAGTCCGACCTTTGATATTAAGGGATTTATAATGGAGTCCCCTTATCAGTGTTTTTTGAGTAATATGGTCAGAGTTTCACCCATAACTCTGAGCACATATCAATTTGTATTTACGCATTTTTATCTACCATTTGTCTTTTTTATTTCCAATCTAGAATCTATATTATAAATATTGGGATAGTGATTATGCTTAAATCATGCAGTGTAGTTGTACCTGTTTCGGTCCCAGGAAAGACAAGTTGGGTGAGGTAATATATTTGATTGGACCAACTTCTTTTGATGAGAGAGACAAGCTTCCAAGCCACAGAGTGCTCTTCTTTAGTGCATTTTGCTGTGATGCTGGGAGTATCTTTCCCAGACCTGAAGAAGAGCTCTGTGTGGCTTGAAAGCTTGTCTCTCTCACCAACAGAATTTGGTCCAATAAAAGATATTGCCTCTCTTGCCTATGTTTAAATCATGTTATCCTGTGGTAAAACCTGTAAAGGGGCTAATCTTCCTCATAGTGTCCCCCAGGAATTGGGTCCATTTGGCAGATGGAATTAACTTCCTCCAGAAAGAACTGTAGGGTCTTGAGACCTTGAAACTCTGTAGATTCACTGGTTTCTGCAGGAGCCAAGGCCATCTACACTGAGGCATGGCATTCACTGAGATTGTTCCCCCCTTCTCCCCACCTTAAAAAAGTTGGGTTACCTTTCACATTTAGGCATTTAGGAGGAAGATATATCCCTTGCCACTGCCCCAAACTGCCTGCACGCAATACAGGACTGCCCCGTCCTGCCAATATTCACCTGCATCCCAACCAGTCCCTACCACTCATGCCAATGCATTAATCCCAACCCCAAAGAGAATCTTCTACACGGTGCCAGAAAGAGGGTGACAGTTCCACAGAAGCAGCTAACCACAATTCCCATACAATGCAAGGGAGTGCCCCTTCTGAGTTTCGTTATTGGGTGCACAGTTTTGGCCTGTTTGTTACTGTAGGAAGAAATAAGTCTCACTTGGTTGAAGTCATAGATTCAATAAAGTTCTTCCTTTGAACAATCTGGATATCAAATTGTTATGCACATGGATATTTAAGTCAAGTGTGTTAGTCTAAATGTCTTAACCATTCAATAGCTGAGGAAAGGGCACTCTGCAAGTCCTTGAGGGAACCAGGCAGCGCTTGCCAATAGGTGGAGCCTGCAAGTATATGGCCTACATCTTCTAACTGACCACAGTGGCAAAGGGGAGAGTCTTAAAGACTCCAGTTACCGTCATTTGCAGCACATCTGATCACTGTACATTGAAGTGATTGAGTTTTACACACAGGGAGATGGACTGTTGGTCCTGTCACAAGACAGGCATTGGCTATTTTTGATGCTTCTTCTTTGTCATTTAGTATGCCTTCTGGAGGTGACATCAAATTTCTTTAGAAGAAATGTCTTACAGGGATTCCTGGAGCTAAAACAGTGGATGAGTCGATTAAACACATCTTTAAATAGGGGTAGATATGGCATGTTTTGCACATTAAGGAGCAAATTCCACAAGGTGACTTGTTGCCTGATGTCAAAAGGGGTGATGTTGGACAGGACTGGCAGCCAGGCCAGATTGGTTGGTCTCATGGTACCAGTTATTATCAAAAATAAGATTAGTCAAAAACACTGTTCAGAGAAAAGTGTTCTCTACAAAGATTTTTACATCTTGTTTTCCTTCTGCTATAATTTCCATATAGCTTCATCATTCCCGTGTAAAACTGAAATTCCTGCTTCAGAATCGTATTTCACATGTATGAAATATTTTTATTTTTATTTCAGGAGCCTTTATGATCCCTTTTCTCATTTTGCTTGTCCTGGAAGGTATCCCACTGCTTCATCTTGAGTTTGCCATTGGTCAAAGACTGAGAAAAGGCAGTGTGGGAGTCTGGAGTTCTATCCATCCTACCCTGAAGGGAGTAGGTAAGTCTCAGGAAGCTTACAACTAAACCAAACAGAATGCACAAAAGCCCACATTATTAATTTTGCCATTGAGGCTTTATTGTTTTACTTTGGAGCAGAATGAATGTCTCAGGGGATGAATTATGAGTTCAGAGACTAACTTCTACATTGTCCACCTGAATGCAGCCCAGGTTAGTAGTGATCCAAAGCTGTTACCATCTGATAACTATTTGATGTCCCATTCCCAGTGCACAGGAACAGTGGGCACACTTAAAAACTGCACCCTGGTTTTAGAGAGATTACAGGTGACAGGGAATATCTCTGAGAATGGGGAATATGGCTAGAACAATTTCTCTCTAGAATTGGAATTAACTTTTTTAAGTGTGCCAACAATTTGTGCTGTAGTTATTTTGAGTTATTTGGAGGAGTTCAGTCTCCATGTCTGTCAGTCATAAGTGGTAATTGGTATACAACATTGTATACATTAATAATAGGGCTGTCAATTAATCACAGCTAACTCACATGATTAACTCAAAAAAATTAATCACGATTAATCGCACTGTTAAACACTAGAACACAAATTGAAATTTATTAAATATTTGTGGATATTTTCTACATTTTCAAATATATCGATTTCAATTACAACACAGAATATGAAGTGTACAGTGTTCACTTTATATTTATTTTTATTACAAATATTTGCATTGTAAAAAACAAAAGAAATAGTATTTTTCAATTCACCTAATACAAATACTGTAGTGCAATCTCTTTATTATGAAAGTTGAACTTACAGATGTAGAATTATGTACAAAAAAAACTGCATTCAAAAATAAAACAATGTAAATCTTCAGAGTCTACAAGTCCACTCAACCCTACTTCAGCCAATCACTCAGACAAACAAGTTTGGTTAAAATTTGCAGGAGATCATGCTGCCCGCTTCTTATTTGCAATGTCACCTGAAAGTGAGAACAAGCATTCGCATGGCACTTTTGTAGCTGGCGTTGCAAGGTATTTAAATGTCAGATATGCTAAACATTCGTATGCCCCTTCATTCTTCGGCCACCATTCCAGAGGACATGCTTCCATGCTGATGATGCTCGATAAAAAAAAATAAGGAGTTAATTACATTTGAGACTGAACTCCTTGTGGGAGAATTGTTTGTCTCTTGTTCTGTTTTACCTGCATTCTGCCTTTATTTCATGTCATGGCAGTCTTGGATGATGACCCAGCACATGTTGTTATTTTAAGAACACTTTCACTGCAGATTTGACAGAACACAAAGAAGGTACTGTGACAAAGTTCCTCGTCTGCCTTGGTGGGTCCTGCACTGATTGGCGGATTTGCTCCATTCAGAGATTCACGGCAGCCCACAGTTTGGCCACTTTTGCTAGTGGCTCAAACTTGCCATCCACTCAGCTAACCTCATCATTAGCCAGCATGGGAAAAAGGAAGGAGAACAATTCCTGCAGTCTCTAATGGTCCACCTACTGGGTTGGGGGACAGGCCAGGGACCTTCCCCTCTGGTGGGACCCACAGTCCAGATCAACTCCTCCTGCATCCAATAGGGAGTTGAGGGGGTGGGGGGAACCTGGGCCTGCCCTCTACTCTGGGTTCCAGCCCAGGGCCCTGTGGATCGCAGCTGTCTACAGTGTTTCTTGTAACACCTTTGTGACAGCTACAACTCCATGGGCTACTTCCCCATGGCCTCCTCCCAACACCTTCTTTATCCTCACCACAGGACCCTCCGCCTGGTGTCTGATAATGCTTGTACTCCTCAGTCCTCCAGTAGTATGCCTTCTCACTCTCAGCTCCTTGTGCCCTCTTGCTCCCAGCTCCTCGTACGCACCTTACTAACTGAAGTGAGGTCCTTTTTAAAACCAGGTGCCCTGATTAGCCTGCCTGTCCTAATTGATTCTGGTAGCTTCTTAAATGGCTCCAGGTGTCCTAATTAGCCTGCCTTAATTGGTTCCAGCAACTTCAATATTTTCTTGTTTGTTTGAAATAATGAATCATAGAATATCAGGGTTAGAAGGGACCTCAGGAGGACATCTAGTCCAACCCCCTGCTCAAAGCAGGACCAATCCCCAATTTTTGCCCCAGATCCCTAAATGGCCCCCTCAAGGTTTGAATTTACAACCCTGGATTTAGCAGGCCACTGCTCAAACCACTGAGCTATCCCTCCCCCCCTGAAAAGGAAAGCAATCTGCTTTCAACAGATATATCTTGGTAAACTTCCTGCAAGAGACATCCTCTAAATAGTGCAGTCAAAGAGCATTAAAATATAGGGCCTAATTCTCACTGAGAAATATTCTGGATGTCTTCAGAGAGTTCCCCACTTTTTTAAATCAAAAGGCTACATTGTGACTTGGACCATGCACAGTTTAAGGGATGGTAAGATCTCTGTGCATGCTACTGGGCACTTCAATCTGGGTGTACAAGAGTACTGCACTCCTGCTTCTCAGATAAGCCAGTGCAGGGCTATCATAATTTGCTGTTAGGCTATACTGGCAGCAAATTTCTACATCCCAGAAAGGTATCTGTTATGCACAGTGACTCCTTGGCTGGTGTAGCTTATGCACCACCCATTGCTCAGGACTGTGGCTAAATAGTCTAGCTAACCTGCCATGAACAAAATGACTGCAAATAAATGCAAACCTTCTACAACAATCTGAAGATTTAGGGACATATGTTACTTTTTATGAGTGCATTAGTATGCTCATTTCTCACTAGTAGTGCGTGTTTACAGTGAGATACAATCCACAGGTAAATCTTCACACTTTATAGATGGTGACTTTTTACATAATGAATAACTTTGTAATGATATTCCCAGCTTCAAGGCTGGGTAATAAATACAGAGAAGCTTTTTATCTGTAGGTAACTGGTTTGAATCTAGCCCAGGTCAGTAGTGATCTCTAATCACTAGTCACTAATTACTATCTGGCAGCTATCTGATGACCTAGTAATTCTGTGGAGTCAACCTGGATACTAGTGGACCCACAAAAAACACTGTTATAGTTGGACTATTCTGCACCCATGCTGGTAGTCTCACCAGAAGCCAAAGATTGAATTTGTGGAGTTAGAATTATTCATTCAGCCCAGAAATTGTAAAAAATGTTGATAACGCACATTGGTGAGGAAGCTTGTACTACTGCTGTTATCCATGCTGTACCTATTCTCCAGGAAGAGGTTTCTAGTTCTCAGGGCTGTCAGTATGGGACACATCACAGTCACTAAAGTCACTTCAATATCATATCTTTAATTTTTGTAAAAACTCATTTCTTTCTGCTGTCAGTACAGCTAAGTGGAGTACAAAATTTTCCTTCTAAACTATTGCAGAGATACATCTCTGCTAATGGGAGTTGCATGCTCACCAAGGGAAGAATGTATTCTAAAGCAGCATATGCCCAGCATGCGTTACACACTGGATCTTGACATTCCAATGGATAGTAACAAAAATCAGTTTAGTTTAGTTACTTAAAATATTTGTTTTATATAAAAAGTAATGAGTTCAGACCCTGTTAAAAGTTATGATTTTATTTTAAAAATTTGTATAATTTCCTTAATGCCAAATGATTCTCTTACTTTAGTTTGAAGTCAGGGAGCCCACTTGTGGAGTAAGGTATTAGTCAAAGTGAGTAAGATTATCTGAATCTGGCCCTATGTTTTCAATGTGTAGGGCTAGATTTTTGTCCTCAGGCAAAATCTTTAGGCCTGAGCCAGTGGTGGTGCATAAACTGCCTTACTCCGGGAGTAGCTTCAGGAAGTATTGTGACTCAGAGACATACCTGGGATTTTTTCTCTCCTGTTTCCTCCTTGCTCCTGCGGGGAAGGGGGTGTGTAGAAAAATTAATGCTATCCTGCGTACCATCATTAAATTTCTACCCCATCCTGCTGTAGTAGGAAGAGAGCCTGAGACATAAACCCTTGTATTAGCGGCCTGGTATGAGGCAGGATCTGCTCACAGAATCTAGCAAGAACAGGGCGAATATTGCAGAAATGCACATTCTTAAGAAGTACTAAGCACAGAGTATTTACGCAAACACATCCTGATACCAAGGATGATACAAAAACATTCCCCAAGGATAACAGGGACACACTGACCCCTCCTAAAAGATAAGGTCAGGATGACAATACATAATAGAGATATTTTGATCGAACCAACATGTACAAGGTGGTTACTAGGCAAATCGGGACATTAACTAACTATGTCAAAGGGAGAGTACTAACTTGTTTGTATCAGGGTATAAAGATGTATCTCAGAGGGACTATCTTTGTCTGGCCTAGGGATGAATGGAAAGTCCCACCATTCACTGAGCTGGTCCATTGTTAAGGGCATACATTTATTAGTGGTTCAGTAGAATCTGCAGGCTCAGTAGAATCTGTACCATGCTTCGTTGACAATAAACCTGGCTGGCTGCTTTTGTCTCTTACCATATCATTGGGCGGTTCGCTCGAGGTCTGCCATGCCAGCTGTCTGCGCAGGGCTGGGGCAGCACACAGAGGGAACACATATACGCAGCCAAACATCTATCAACATCTAACCACATCAGCATTGGCTCAGCTACTCTTACCAGCAAGGTGGGGGTCAGAACCCAGGCTCCAACCACTCTGTCCATTTCCCACCTAGTCACTGCCTACCTACTCTAGAGCAGAAATAACTTTGTTTACTACTACTCACCTATACCCAAGGTCCAGATGGCTCAAGTGGGAGTGTGAGCTGGGGGTTACTCCCCTGAATGGGTATATAGTCTGAATCACAATCTACTCCTTAATTATCTTTGGGTATAAAGAGGGTTATACAAGTGTTTGGTGAAAATGCAACATACGTTGCTGTCATTTTTTAGTGTTTGTTGTTACGTGCAGAGTTGGTAGCTTTCATGCCAGGTGTCTGCATCAGACTGAATTTTTTTTTGGAAAGTTTCAGCTATAATGGTCAGCTCTCTCACAGAATGAGTGTTGGGAAAAAGATATAATTTTGATCTCAGAAATCATAATGAAATGATTTTAAGAAGTCCCACTGTCCCCATGATTTTCCCTGGAAACGCTCCTCTCAGCTGGCATCAATCACCAGAACTGAGATCAGGGAGACTCACTCTTTCCTGTGATCTCAGTGCTCTCCCTGCTGATGCCAGCAGTGTGAAGGAGGAGAAGTATATTCTTGAACTCAAATGCAGAGGGGGTGAGGAGCAGAAGGGAAGACAGGGACATAAACAAATAGACTAGGTTGGGAATGGTATTACAGCAGAGGGAGGTAGGAAGGAACTTGGACACAGGAACAGAAGTTTTATAACCATTAGAGCACATGATCCTCCAGAACATGTAATTAAACCCAGGATACCCAAGTCTCAACATTCTTCTGCTGTCTAGCAAATACCTGTAAACCTAAATGAGTATCTCACCTCTCCCCTACTAGCTAGACCGCATAGAGGATAACAGCCTACTTCTGCTAAAAGTTCTCCATTAGGTTGAGTGACAGAAGACTGTGCTGTCTAGCTAAATATCTCAAGCCTGCTGATTACCCATGTGGGATCAAGATGATTAAAAAATAATGGAATTTGTTTTTTGTTTGCTTGCTAGAAAATTTCATTTATAAAACCCTAAGTTTATGTTAAAAGAATGTTAAGATTACAAAGTCAAGCATTCAAAAGTTAGGGAATGCCAAATATACAGTTGCCTTTGTAACCCTAATGTTGTTTATATGGAGAGGTTGTATGTATAATATGTGTTACTTTGTGTCTAGAATACAAGAATTGTGTTCATCTATATCCATTAAAAAAAAACTATTAATTTACATTGTCAAGATACAAATTTTCACAGCATTCATATAATTGACTGAGATCAGTCTGGTGGCTTAGTTTTATAATGTCTTATATTTTTGTTGATATATTTTAACATTCCTTTAAAAACGACTAAAAGCTGCATATTATAATCTTTTCCTTTTTTTTTTTTTTTTTTTTTTTTTTTTTAGGTATAGCAGCAATGCTTGTATCCTTCCTGGTGGGTTTATACTATAACACTATCATTGCCTGGGTGATGTGGTATTTCTTCAACTCTTTCCAGGAGCCATTGCCTTGGAGTGACTGCCCACTCAATGCCAACAGAACTGGTACAGATTATGAAACAGGATTTTCATTTGTAAAGCACTTTTTGTCATTAGCAATTAATTCAATAAGAACTTTTTTGTATAAAAATAACATAGCATACCAACTTTATCAGGGTTGTATGCAGTGTAGTTGCAGACATGTCGGTCCCAGGATATTAGAGAGACAAGGTAGATATGAGGTAATATCTTTTATTGGACCAACTTCTGTTGGTGAGAGGGACAAGCTGTGTGTGGCTCGAAAGCTTGTCTCTCTTACCAATAGAAGTTGCTCCAATAAAAGATATTAACTCACTCACCTTGTATCGATAACTTTATCAGGGAGTATTTTGATATTTTAATATTTCAGTTTTGCAGAAAAGTATTCACTATACATTTTGACATTTTAAGTGAAATCTGTGTTCTGGAGTTATTATTCCAGCCTTTAGATGAAATAACTGACACATTGTAACCTCTTTAGAACCCGAGCCACTAGGAGAGAGTTGATACATGTATTTTCCCATATATACGGTATTTGCAAAAGTACAAGATCCAGTGCAAACACTAGTATTCAGGAGCACTTTGGAGATTAGGAAAATGGAGGATTATTGGCACCATAAAAAAAAATCTTGGTAGGTTAAAAAAGATAGAGTTCAATAATGCTTTTGTATGCTTCATGGTATGCAAAGATAGAATGTACCCATTTTTCTCACACTAGCACAATCAAATTTTAAAGTTATAAAGAGCCCCACTCTGTATAAACAAACTCAGAAACATATGAAAATTAATTTAGCATCATCTTTGAAACTTCAGATTTCTGTCACAAGTGAAATTGATAGTTTTCTTTTAACAACTTTTAACACTGTGTCTGAGATTTTCAAAGATGCCTAGGAGCTTTCAAATGGGAAATGACCATCTAAAACCTTTAGGCAGCTTTGAACATTCCAGTCTGTGGCAGAGAAGAGAACAGATTGGAAATTATTTACCTAAAATATGAGAGGAGGCTGCAAAATTTTGTGACATATGAATACATCTCAGTGAGGTGAGACATGTTAGATACAACTTTTCAACTGCACTATTTCAGAAAATAGTAACCACTAATGACAAAATGTATGTGGCACAAGAGCTGCATATTCTGGTAGTCCAGACCAGAATGATATTTAGGTTACACAGTTATAAAAGATCCAATTCTGGGTGTTGATCTCAGAACAGATTGCCTTGAACCAACAACAAATGCTTAAATATTGCCCCACTACATGGAAAGACTAATGGTTGATGAACACTGACCGTGTGTGTATGAAGTAGTACAGAGATGGAAGTGCTCCCCACCCCCTTGCAGTCAGGCATGGTGTCGCAGGTGAGCCTCTGTCTCAGTTTCTTCCCATCTGGGTATAAGACCAAGCAGGCCTTTCTAGTATGAATGAGCAACCTCTTCTGATGGTCTCATTTATTGTAACAGAAAAAGGAAAACATAAATGAAAACTTCAGTCAGCTGCTCCACTGGGAACTCTCCACCTCTGGTTTAATCAATCTTATATCTTGCCTTTCTAGCCATGGAGTACTCTCAGGCTGAATTTCCTGTTGGAAGCTTGGGCCTTTCCTGGGTTTTTAGCTGGCTGCCACTCTTTCCCCTTTGTTGAGCAAATCACTGGTAGCTTCCAAGGAGGTTCCACACTCAGTTTGTTCTCCAGGGCTGTTCCTGTCCCTTGCCTATTCCATGGGCCTCTGCTTTCCAGGTAGACATCACTTGGAATAGCTTCCTAACCAGCTCCCTTGAGAAGTCTCTTACCTCAGGGGCTTCCTCTGTCCTGGCTTCTTGACTAAGCCCTCATGAGCTTTTATTAGGCCCAGGGATTTCTTACCTAATTAACTGCTTCCCAGCTACTTGGGCAATTAACTATCTGCAGGTACATCTGGGGTGGGTCACTCTCCTTAGCAGATCCTGTCACAGGTGAAGCTGGGTGCCTTACCCCCACCCCTATAGGGGCCAGCTACCCTGTGATGTATTCCCTCCCCCCTTTTAAAAACTGAACATTGCCCTTCCCAAGGCAAGATTCGGTATTTGCCTATGTCTAAATGGGCTCAACTACGGTGACCTTATTAAACACATTCTCCAGGACTGAGACATAGGTCACCTAGCAATCATTTCTTCCAGCCAGGGAGGTCCTTCTCATTGACAAGGAAGTCTGCAAATCCTTTAACCATTCTTCTATTCTCATCACCCAAGTATGACAATATTGCAAGTCATGTTCGCCAAAGTCCTACATTGGTTGTGTGGCAAACAAACTCCTCTGTAGTTTCTGGTACATCATAATTCAAAACCAGTTGTACATTTCGTATGGCCAGTCCTCTGATTGCATCAGAGATAATTAACAGCATTAGTCTCTCACCATTGGCAAATCTGAGTCAGGCTGCTTCTTGATCTTCTCAGATACAGCCTTCCAGGATAGATTTTCCAGGTACATCTTTTGGAGTTAATGTTGTCTTACATCTAGCCTAATTCTCCCTTGTAGTTTCTGATTATTACCAATCTAATCTTTTTTCCTACAGCCTTCAGTAAACAGCTTATGAGAGCCCATTTCTGAGCCTCTTGGATCCACATCACTTCATGTGTGGTGTTATCCACTGGATAATCACTTTTACTCTCCTCCCTTGAAGGGTCCCAGTTTACCTTTAAGCTAGACTTCTTTTTAGCTCCACTTTGATTAGGGTTTTGTACTGCTGTTTCCAAAATCTATGTCTCAGTCCTTCCTCTTATACTTCAGCTCCTTTTTGGGGATGACTTTCTTCCTCACCAGCCTAGCAACTTTCCCTTTCAGGTGTTTGAGGCACTGCCTCACCCCATCTGTCCTGTGTTGTCTGACATTTCCTGGGACTCAATCCCCTCTTGAGGGCTGCCTTGTCACCCTCTAGGAGTTCAATTCTCTTACCTTGGGTCTTGATACCATGGGACTGTTGAAGGATTTTTCATGGAGCTCCCTCAGATCCTTCAATAACAACAAGTACTGTCATTCCCTGTCATTTGCTTTTATCATCAGATAGGCTAACTCTTGCTTTCGTTTCATGGCTTGAGACAGGGTACAGTCTCTTGAGGAGTGTATTTCCTTTATTTCCTTCAGCGCTACCCACATTTTGGTCCTGTAATGCACTGAATTGTGCTGTGATCAGAAGGAGACCCCATTGACCTGAAGGCATGGGATGCATTGTCCTAGGGATGTGGGGTTCCACGACCACCACTCCCAAGAGGAGGAGATGGATGGTAGTGGTCAGGGACTCCCTCCTAATGGGGATGGAGTAATCCATCTGCCAACCAGACTCGAGAAGTGTGCTGCTTGCCTGGAGCTAGAATTCAGAATGTGATGGAGTGGCTGCTGAGACTAATCAAGCCCTCGGACCGCTACCCCTTCCTACTTCTTCACGTGGACACCAATGACATTGCCAAGAATGACCTTGAGTGTATCACTGCAGACTATGTGGCTCTAGGAAGAAGGGTAAAGGAGTTTGAGGCACAAGTCATGTTTTCGTCCATCCTCCCTGTTGAAGGAAAAGGCCCAGGTAGGGAAGTAAATTGTGGAAGTAAATATGTGGTTATGCAGGTGGTGTCAGAGAGAGGGCTTTGGATTCTTTGACCATGGGATGTTGTTCCAGGAAGAAGGATTGCTAGGAAGAGATGTGATCCACCTAATGAAGAGAGGGAAGAGCATCTTTGCAAGCAGGCTTGCTAACCTAGTGAGCAGGGCTTTAAATTAGGTTAGCCAGGGGATGGAGACCTAAGCCCTGAGGTAAGTGAGGAAGTAACATACCAGGAGGAAACACAAGGAGGAGGGTGCAACAGGGGAGGCCTCCTGATTCATACTGAGAAATCCGGGCAATTGGGTAGTTATCTTAGGTGCTTGTACACAAGTGCAAGAAGTTAATATTGTTCAATATCTTCATAAATGATCTGGAGGATGGTGTGGATTGCACTCTCAGCAAATTTGCGGATGATACTAAACTGGGAGGAGTGGTAGATACGCTGGAGGGGAGGGATAGGATACAGAAGGACCTAGACAAATTGGAGGATTGGGCCAAAAGAAATCTGATGAGGTTCAATAAGGATAAGTGCAGGGTCCTGCACTTAGGACGGAAGAACCCAATGCACAGCTACAGACTAGGGACCGAATGGCTAGGCAGCAGTTCTGCGGAAAAGGACCTAGGGGTGACAGTGGACGAGAAGCTGGTTATGAGTCAGCAGTGTGCCCTTGTTGCCAAGAAGACCAATGGCATTTTGGGATGTATAAGTAGGGGCATAGCGAGCAGATCGAGGGATGTGATCGTTCCCCTCTATTCGACATTGGTGAGGCCTCATCTGGAGTACTGTGTCCAGTTTTGGGCCCCACACTACAAGAAGGATGTGGATAAATTGGAGAGAGTCCAGCGAAGGGCAACAAAAATGATTAGGGGTCTGGAACACATGACTTATGAGGAGAGGCTGAGGGAGCTGGGATTGTTTAGCCTGCAGAAGAGAAGAATGAGGGGGGATTTGATAGCTGCTTTCAACTACCTGAAAGGGGGTTCCAAAGAGGATGGCTCTAGACTGTTCTCAATGGTAGCAGATGACAGAACGAGGAGTAATGGTCTCAAGTTGCAGTGGGGGAGGTTTAGATTGGATATTAGGAAAAACTTTTTCACTAAGAGGGTGGTGAAACACTGGAATGCGTTACCTAGGGAGGTGGTAGAATCTCCTTCCTTAGAGGTTTTTAAGGTCAGGCTTGACAAAGCCCTGGCTGGGATGATTTAACTGGGAATTGGTCCTGCTTCGAGCAAGGGGTTGGACTAGATGACCTTCTGGGGTCCCTTCCAACCCTGATATTCTATGATTCTATGATTCTATGATAAGTCTGGGAAACAAGCAGGGAGATCTGGAAGTCCTGGCACAGTCAAGGAACTATGATGTGATTGGAATAACAGAGACTTGGTTGGGCAACTCACATGACTGGAGCACTGTTATGGATGGGTATAAATTATTCAGGGAGGACAGGCAGGGG